AAACGCTTGGAATTTTAAAATTAAAGAATGTTTTAAAAAATAATACGCGTTTCGTGTATATAATGTGGCCTATTTCATTTAGATTCTTTTTAATTTGTTTTTGTTTCCATCCCTTTTGTTAATAAATACCTCACTGTGATAAAAGAAGACCTATTAAGAATGGTGAAACGTTGTAAGAACCTGGACACAAATTTACTGTGGATGATTAAAGCACCTTCTAAACATTTTCGTCTTAGTAAATTGTTTTCTGTTTTAATTAAAGTAGCATTTTTAGGTCAAACCTCTGAGCAATCTCGTTACGGTGAACAAATGAAGCATTTAATGTGTTATTTTGTAAAAGATCCCTTTTGTGTTCATATAATCTTTTATTTAAATTGCCTGAGGTTTCTTCGATGTATTCCATATGGCAATTATTACAGGTAATAGAGTAAATTCCTTCTTCAAGTTTTAGCTTATTTTTCAGAATATATATATATGTGTGTGTGTTTGTGTGTGTGTGTGTGTGTGTGTGTGTGTATGTGTGTGTGTAGATTGCACAATATTATCAGTAACAAAAATGGAGATAACGAGACAACGTGGAGAAGCTATAAACTTCTGTTGATTTCGGCTTCTCCAGGTTTGAATGAAAGAGAAAACTTGATGGTAAAAAATATTTATTCCCAATACTAAGGTCTTTATTAACATCACCAAGACAAGCAGACATATAGTTAGCAAAAAAAGAAAGAAAAAAAAAGAAAGAAAATAGATTCAATATCGGATGCTACGATTTATGATATAAAACCCTACAGTGTCAGAAAAGCTACATAGACGAAAAATCTAGAAATATCTACGGACAGAAGCGAGACCTATAACTTCGATTTAATAAAAGCTACCCTAATTAGAAAAGAACGTAGAAAATAATTAGAAGGAATTTTGATAAATATTTTACAATGAATAAACACATCAAATACACTTTATATAACCAACTTTAATAAAATCTATTCTTAAAATATCTGTTTACCGACAACGAAAACCGGTGTAAGCTAAATTCTCTCACATTCACATAAAACATCACCCAGTCAACAAACAAGCACTACAAGACCTAAAAGAAAAATACCCACTAGACGCTCAAACGTATACAAACACACATACGCACACACATTTTCAACCAAATTCCGCATAGACCAACTAGAATTTTGATACAAAAAATACACAAAGATTATACACACAGAAGCTGCTTGACAGGGCAAATACACTTGTGGTTTGCTTAACCAATAAAAAAAATACCAGAATTTTCTTTTCTCCTCCATATTTCATTTCTTGATGAATCTCAAATAAAAAGCGAAACATGTCAAATTTAAAACAGTTTTCGTTTTGATGTCCGATCATTCTGTCTAATTCTAATGCATATTTGGTTCATATCTGACCCCAATTCACACACACACACACACACACACACACACACACACACACACACACATATATATATATATAAATACTATATATATAAATACTATATATATATATATGTAGTATTTATTTAAAAATTATAACATAAACATGTTATAATATCACTACGAAAATAGCCTTTTTTTTTCAACTCTTTTACTGTTTTGTCAAGTGTTGGTTTGATAGCAGAATAAATCGAATTGAAAACCAACCAAACTCATCTCAATAGGGAAACATTGTTACGTAAGCTACAATGACCAATCAAAATACAAATATATGATCATGCAAAAAAAAAAAAAATTGACAAACGATCCTTAGATACAATATATTAATGCCTTAATGTTAGACTAAATTTGAAATCATTCTAAGTGATTATTGATTTTAATATAAAATTTAAAAAAATTACAAATTTTAAATTTAATCTTTCATTAAGTTTCAAATATAAAATTATTCGAAGAAGAAACTGAGGAAAACATATATACAGTAGCGTCCAAAACTAAGGGACAAAATTTTAAAACCTAATATTTGTTAGAAATAACAGCTGTGAAAATCGGAAATTTTGACAACTGGTAGTCGTTATCATCCATAATAACATACTAAAATTTGAATCATTTGCAAAGGATAGAAAAAGAATTATAACAATTATTTATTTATTTTCGAATTTGGAACGTCCAAAAGTAAGGGACAAAATTGAGAAAAACAATGTAAACGGCAAAAAAACAATAAAAATACATGTACAATCAATATTCAGTAAATGAGCCCTTGCTCTCAATGACAGCTGCACATCTTCGACTACAAGAACGAATCAGTTCTTGACAATCCTTGATACTAATTTTAGATCATTCTTCTTGAAGCTTCACCCACAAATCCTCCGTGTTAGTGGGATTTCTTTCCATAACTTTCACTCCTAAGGTCTTCCAAAGATTTTCTATTGGATTTAAGTCAGGACTTTGCGGTGGCCAATCCATAATTTCCAAATCTTGCTCGCTAAGTTAACTCATTACCACCTTTGCCTTGTGACATGGGGCATTATCTTGCATAAAGGTAGCCCTATCGAAACCTGAATTCTGTATGATTGGCACAACATGATCTTGAACAATGTTTTTATAGATCTGCGCGTTTACACGAGTTTGTAACCGGACAAGTGGCATTGTACCTTGGCTAGAAAACATTCCAAATACCATGACGCTTCCGCCCCCAAACTTGACAGTTTTCTTAGTACACTTTGCATTTAATCTTTCACCAATACGTCTCTTTACATTGTTTTTTCCATCATTTCCAAATAAATTAAACTTGCTTTCATCACTGAAAAATACTTTTGCCCAATTTTCATATGTCCAAATTACTTCTTCTTATTCTTCGAACTAACAAGTGGTTTCTTCCCTGGGGTTCGATTAAACAGCCCTATTTCTTGCAGTCATCTACAAACAGTCTGACTTGACACATTAACACATGAGGTACTATTCATAACCCTTTTAATTTCTGTGCAAGACTTAAAACGGTACTGTTTACATTGTTTTTCTCAATTTTGTCCCTTACTTTTGGACGATCCTATTTTGAAAATAAATAAATAATTGTTATAATTCTTTTTCTATCCTTTGCAAATGATTCAAATTTTAGTATGTTATTATGGATGATAACGACTACCAGTTGTCAAAATTTCAGCTTTTCACAGTTGTTATTTCTAACAAATATTAGGTTTTAAAATTTTGTCCCTTAGTTTTGGACGCTACTGTATATATTTTTATTTATTTATTGTTATAATCGAAAAGCCAAAGTTTCAGTTAGAGCAAACACTAATTTAAAGAGATTTCAACATACAATTGAAGGGATCTGAATTCAGATGATGTGGGCAGGGGAAGAAGTCTTATAAATGACGAGACAGACACAAACACGTCATAATACACAAACATGTAAATATATTTAGATATACAAAAACGTAAAAATACGGACGACACAAGAAATAAATCCACATCAAAGAAAATAATAAACCACTTCTAGGAAGATCATCTGGTTTACTCCTCCTTTCAACCTAATGTTTAAATATAAATTATTACATAAATCTTATCAAAAAACATACTATTTGCTCAGCTCTGTATTGAGCACTCTTTTGTTTTTGTTATTGGAGAGAAAAAATCAGGAGAAAAATATTTTTGCTTGCTGGTAGCAGTGAACTACAGAAATGAATATCTGATGGAGAAAATTATCTTTTGTCTGTAGTTTTCATTTGTTTTTTTATTTTTTTATCTTTTTAACATGAATCTTTTAACATTCCTTGTGTTGGTCAAATATATATATATATATATATATATATATATATATATATATATATATATATATATATATATATATATATATACAATCTCCCAAAGAATATTTAAATTCTGCAACATACGTTAATTAGTTGAAAGGAGTTATTTCGAGTGATTAAATTGGATCTGTTGAATTTAGTATAATATATACTTAATCTTATTTTTTACCATTTATTTTTTTTTTTGGGGTGATTATATGAGTATTTATTAGTTTTTAAGGATATATATATATATATATATATATATATATATATATATATATATATATATATATAAGCGCTCTACTAGAGTGCCCGCAGGGTCTCATCATTTTATCGTTGAAATTGTTACATGTAACCGATGAAATGATTTAAAAAAAGAAAGAATGAAAAATACTAATCAATTACATATCCAACCAGCCATTTATCCAACCACATATATATATATATATATATATATATATATATATATATATATATATATATATATATATATATATGCAATATTTTTTTCTTTTTTAGTATTTATTTTTAATAAATCATGAACTTAGACATTTTATATGCGCTGTCGATTCATAGTGACTGACTGTTCCTGAAGCAGAAATGAATTTTAAATACTGAATTATATTTTTGTTAATTTTAGTGATCTCTTTTTCTGTATTAAATTTAGAATTACAAACAAATTACAGGGATCAAGAAAAGAAAAAAAATGTACACTTTTTAAAAGATTATCAAAAGTTAAAAAAGATTTCTTTGAGGAAAACAAAGAACATAGTATATAAAAGGTGAAAAAGAAAGGGAAATAAAAGAAACAATTAAGAAAAGAAGGAAAGAGACAAAGAAAAAGAATGAAACAAAAAAAGAGAGAATAGACCACTATAGACAGATATGAAGATAGATAGATAGATAGATAGATAGATAGATAGATAGATATGAATATACTCAGATAGATATATATATAGATAGATAGATAGACATGAATATACTCAGATAGATAGATCGATAGATATGAATATACTCATTTAGACAGATAGATAGATAGATAGATAGATAGATAGATAGATAGATAGATAGATATGAATATACTCATTTAGATAGATAGATCGATAGATATGAATATACTCATTTAGATAGATAGATAGATAGATAGATATGAATATACTCATTTAGATAGATAGATAGATAGATAGATAGATAGATATGAATATACTCAGATAGATAGATAGATAGACATGAATATACTCAGATAGATAGATTGATAGATAAATATGAATATACCCATTTAGATAGATAGATAGATAGATAGATAGATAGATAGATAGATATGAATATACTCATTTAGACAGATAGATAGATAGATAGATAGATAGATAGATAGATAGATAGATATGAATATACTCATTTAGATAGATCGATAGATATCAATATACTCATTTAGATATAGATAGATAGATAGTAATTTATATAGATAGATCTGTATGAGTTGAGAAATGGTTAAACTCTGAAACATACAAAAAATATGCTATTTTAAATTTTGATTTTTTTTTTTTGCCTAATGGTTTAATATCTTATAAATAAGGAACCTGTTTTACTTTTTTTTTTTAAGTCTAATAAACATGCAAAGAAAACCATTTTGGAAGAAGCAGTGGCCATCATTACAAACAGACGCTTGAATGAAATTCTTTTCACATCCAACTTACGATCTTTTATCCCAGTGTCCATACTCTTTGATAATTGTTCATTTTTATCGGTGAATTTTTCTCTCGCACAGCAACTCGTTCACTTACCTGAAAAAGATTAAAAAACATGACATGAAAATTAAATAACCAAAGGTCTTCTGTATTGTAACTATACTGTACTAGTTTGTATTGTTTTATAACTTATGAACCTCAATGGGTTATTTAGTGTCGACAAAATTTTCATTGTTGGTAATATTTTTTTTCCAAAAATCGATTTCTGCTAATATTTTTTCCTTCAAAATCTATTTTTCGTAACAATTTTCCTTCGCTGGTACTATTTGTTTTTCAAAAATATATTGCTGGTACTATTTGTTTTTCAAAAATATATTGCTGATACTATTTGTTTTTCAAAAATGTATTGCTGATACTATTTGTTTTTCAAAAATGTATTGCTGGTAATATTTTTTTTCTTTTTTACAAAGTATTTCTGGCATTAAAAACCTATTTTTACATTCTCATAGGGTTTTGACCTAGTTTCGGGGTTAACTATTTGCCTATAACTGGGACCTTAAGAGGTGCTACCACCCCGGGTCAGGGTGAACCTGGGAACATCAGCAATTAAGAGGTGTTTCTACGCTCCTCAAAACCTCCTGATCAGAGGCCTTGCTGTTAGACGTAGTTTATCGTCTTACCAAGGACACGGGTGTAGTTTATCGTCATACCTAGGAGGTGGATGTAGTTTATCGTCATACCCAGGACGCGGATGTAGTTTATCGTCATACCGAGGACGCGGATGTAGTTTATCGTCTTACCCAGGACGCGGATGTAGTTTATCGTCTTACCCAGGACACGGATGTAGTTTATCGTCATACCCAGAACGGTACTGTACTAGAGGCGCTTTTATTTCAAATATCGTAAGATGCTGCAGAGCGTTAACCTAAGACCTCGATCCATGTCCTTACATTAGCCGTGTCAGATCTAGACCCTCATGTAGAAGATGCCATGTATGGCAACCAACCTGTTCAGAAATACTATCGTCTACACCCAACTATTTTGTCAGAATCATGTTTAAAACGACTAAATCGTCGAGGTCTGAATACATTAACTGCCAACCATGTGAACTCTCTTTTTATTATGACATCGACTACGTGTTGTCTCGTGATTGGTCTTTTCTGATACATTTTCATTTGCGGGTGCCACCACTGAATTTATTCACAGAAATACTTTTAATTTGAAAACTTCAAGCTGTAAATCAACTCATGAATTTTTTTTATTGCCTGAGTTGCCTATTATGAAGTTGGTGTTTGAAGTCAGCTTTCGTAATTGACTTCTGGTAGTGAACGTGATCACACAAAATAATCCTTCATCGGATCTTACAGGCTGAAGCTAAACAATTGCAAACTTAACAAATAACAAAAAACTCATCACTTGAATGCTTCTAACAGCAACGACAAATTAATGAGCATCACCTGTAACTGAAAGGAAAAATAATAAGAAAATCAAGATGTTGAATTTCAACACTACGTTACACAGAAGGTTAAAAAGGAAACTTCCAGGCGAACTTGAAAAAAAAATGGTTGCTGTTAGAGTTCCAGGTACTCTGGCTTTATACCAGAGTCAAGTAAATTTAGTAAGTACTAGCAGTAGAGCCTGGCGTTGCCCGGGGATGTAACAGTAAGAGATAGATCAAGTATCTACCATCATAAAGACTGAAAAATAAAATTGACATAGATTATTGTTTAAGGTTGACGGACACGGATGTCTTCATTAATTTTTTTTTTTTTTTTTTTACGAATTGGGCAAACCCAAACTCAAACAAAAACATTGTTTTCAATCGTTATGAGTCTCCCGATTGAATAGATTAATTTTATAAACAATTGTCTTGTAAATGGAATTTTAAAGCATTCTGAATGTAAAAATAAAGAAAAAAAATTGTGCAAGACAATAAGAAACACTACCTGCCAAAAAAAAAAAAAGAAGTTTTGTTGAAATCGGTTGAAAAATGTAGGAAATCCGATCCCATATATAAACGAACACACACACACACACACACACACACACACACACACACACACACACACACAACCTGGGTTTTATAATAAGTATAACTCGATATGAGTTGTCCCCCTTTCATTCTGGCGACAGTGATGCCTCTTAATCGTGTTTTCAAATTGATTTCGTGCAAAAACAATTGTGTTTTTCCAATTTTTGGCGCTGTCAGAACCACTGCAAGGTAATTTTACGTAGTCCTGTGAAGTTTTGTTGAAATCGGTTGAAAAATGTAGGAAATCCGATCCAATATATAAACGAACAGACACACACACACACAACCTGGGTTTTATAATAAGTATGATTTTATGAGCCCAGAATATTATACTCAATGTCACACAAATGCTAGGGCTAGGAAGCGAGTTAAACTAGGGCTATTCCAGACCGCTAAATATAAAACCATATGATCAAGCCTATATCCAGTTATTATGGGTACGATTCGTTATACACATGTTTTTTTTTATCATTTCACTTCCGACAAGGAAATAAAGCCACTAAGGTGCAAGGAGTTACTGAGTGTGGAAGAATATGAGAAAAAAAAAGCATGATTAAGGATCGAGAACAATAAAAGAACAGCAATTAAGAAGACAGAATAAAACGATTGATAATGCATTTAATTTTTGGAAGATCAATGCTGACTGCGAAGCAAGTAACCGGAGAGTTCCCAAACGAGAAGTGTGAGAGAAGAAACTGTTAGCATAAAACTTAGGGCTATATCTAGCTACTTCAATAATAAAATGATGAGACCTTACTGCCAATCTAGTACTGCGCTTAAATTAATAAAGTCTAGGTATCAAATAGGAAAGTTGCATAAACAACGGTCAGCGAGAGGAATTGGGAAGACTCTCAGACATAGAGCTGAATTTATGCTCCCACGTTTCGGACAAGGACTCTGCGGAAGCGTGGTATAAACTGACCGAAAAATCATTGAAGAATCAGAAGTTGAATAAAATGTAGTCTTTAATATGGAGTCTTGTGTTATTCATAATCAAATGTTCGCCCCCACTTCATTACAATATACAAGATGTCTATCATGGCGCAGTTATTAGAACATAATTTCTCACCGAGTGCTCCTTTTTAATGTGGCCTTGTGCCAGATTAAGAGAAACTGTGAACAAATCTTTAAATCCGACTGCTATGTTGTTATGGGCGTGGAATTCTTTGTTGAAATCGCTATTCACGTTGATATACGTATTACGGCTTAATTTTGTTTTTCCGAGAAAATATCGTCACAAATTTGGCACTGTGGTTGTTTTTATTTTACTTTCATTTCAGTGTATAAGGGTGGGGGTGTATGAAGACCAGATGTGCGCTTTGTTGATGTTTAATTCTATCAATGACTTTTAGAAAGAAGATACTGGCATACCTACCACATCGGCAATATAAACAATCCCAGAAGCGTCCAGGAAAGTCGTCTTTGCAACTCGACACAAAAGACAAGTGTTCTCGCTCGATCTGTAGCATTAAATTCGTTATCTATGCAAGACGCAGAGGCATAAAATAAAAGTGTATTTTGTCACAAATAACATCAAAGGGCGAATTTCTTTATCTAACTCTATACTTGAACGGGGAAAAAAAGATTTAAGATTTTCACGGTGGAGGTGAGGACGGTGAAATGAAGCCTTAGTAGCGTTGGTTTGCCTCTATTTTATTCCACATATGTTTTCAGGAATGTAGAAAGAGATGAGAATGTTCAAATAGGTAGATAGATAGATGTTACGATGAGTAAGTTATCGCTCTTTTATATTTTTAATTTCGCGCATGCGCGTTGTTTGTTTTTGATTTTGTCGATTGCACAGTATATTAGGTTTCAGTTGGGTAACGTCTATGAGAAAAAGAGCACCATGACGCAATTCATTCCGCCAGAAATTTGAAAACGTCATGATGTACTGCTTGACATTCTCGACGGAAGTTCTCATACGAACATTTCAGCGTGTTTGGGTGTCAATCTGAGGACAGTGCTGAGGATTCGGAAAGAGATGGTATTTACATTGGTTCGGCAGGTCGGAAAACTCACTCTGATCATTCTAATAAGAAAAGAACTCCCGAATTTGTTAGTCCTCAGACTCTAAACGGAGTGGCTGCTGGAAGACACTATGTCTGGCAACAGGACTCTACATTATGCCATACAAGCAGAAGAACGCAGTAATGGCTGTCAAACAATTTCTGTGACCACATCACCTATTACATCTGGCCACATAATCTTTTGATTATTATGTGTGGGGCGCAGTTGAGCGAGAGATCAACAAAACTCTTTGTAACCCCCAAAATGAACTGAAAACAAGGATTATTGCAGCAACTTAAAAAAGTCAGACAGTTCAGAAGATTTGCTGGAGATTCCGAAGTTGTATGGAGGCCATGTTTGAAGCCAATAGCGATTTTATTGAATAAATCCACTCTTTAGTGTTTTTAAGATATTTTTTTTCTTTAAAGGCATGAAAGGGCAAAATATTTTAAGTCAAGTGATAGCGATTGCTGTATGAGTCGTACGATTTTTGAATCAAGCACGGACAACGCCGGGCCATGCTGCTAGTATATATATATATATATATATATATATATATATATATGTATGTATATATATATGAAATGCGTGTATTTCGGTAGCATGTTTTTATTCAGACAAGTTTCAGAAAATTCCACGTCGAAAATACCTCCATACTTTTCCACAAAAGAATAAACACAAACTCCTCGATGCTATTTATATCAAAAGAAGGAAACCAAACCTCAGTACAATTAATTACGAATACCCCAAAAACATTTTAAAATGTGTACAATAGATAATCTCTAAATGTTAGCGCTTGTCATTAATAGTTTTTCCTTTATCTAACAACTACTCAAGCCCGGAACTTTTCTACAGCGTTATCTAGTTACCTCCCCTTAAACGGTGTCTGTCAACCAACAATAACACAGCGTTTCTGACTCTACATATAAAAATGATAATCTTCGGATAATTTTTGTCCTTTACAACCATGAACACTAAATACTTACTTTATATTTAACAATACTCTAATGATGATATTATGCTATGTCGAAAGTAATCGGAATAAATACAATATGAACCAACGCTGTGTTTTCCTCTCGTCTTTTAACAACTGCACAAAACCGCTTATTCGCGAGTATGAAAGGATCTTATTGAAAATAAGTAGATAGAACGGGTCTAAATTATTTAACAAAACCTGTCTGAATATATCTATATCTATAATTCTCAAAATGTGTGTATATGTATGTGTGTGTGTGATCGGGTGTTGTTTATTCATTTCCAGGATTTTGATGAATTTATTTTGTTTGACAGATAATTCTTCAGTGCCAGTTTTGAGTCCTAATTGTTCGCGACAATGGCTCTCCACTACTTCCTGTCCATTAAAACTCTCAGCAACGTTGTACTATTTACTATCTGTTCTTGAATATATATCTTTCATAAAAACTTTAATAAAAATAAATAGTTTAAATTATTACAATAATATTATTTATCATTATACAGTTTCAATTTTAGGACCACCCCTATTCAAATTCTTAACACTCCCCCCATTTGGGGGCGTGTCTCAGTTGCACCCAAACGTTGTTACTAATATTGATTTTCGGATGGGCTGTCTTTAAACTTAAACTGATCCAGTTGAAAGACAAAAATTCCCAGTAATGAAAGACCCGATCAAAGACGGGTTATAATGCTAATATATATATATATATATATATATATATATATATATATATATATACAATATAATATATATATAACGAACCCCGACTTAAATAGGAAATGAGAAAGCAGAGTTGCATTACTCGTCCGACATATACAAGTACATGATTTTCCCAAGCGGTCACCCATTTAGGCATAAATAAGGCTTGATGTTACGAGAACCGAAGATTCAACATGATATAACCGTAAACAGATAGATATGAATAGACTGAGATAGATAGATAGATAGATAGATAGATAGATAGATAGATAGTGCTGAAAAGAATGAGATAAATAGTGTGGAAAAACGCGATAGTTACGAATAGACTGAAATGTATAGAAAGACTGACAAACAGACAAGCATAGATAGATAGATAGATAGATAGATAGATATGTACAGCCTGCTTCGCTTTATGAAGGAATTATTCTGCATGTCGTCTCTGAGTGACGACGCGTTAATACCTACGTAACGAGCTTCCAAACTCCTTGCGTTAGTCCTTGTGTCCCGCAAATCTGCATCGATTGGTAGATTTACGTCGAGAATGACATTCTTTGATCTTTTTTCTCAATTATCTTTCAAAATCTATCATTCTGTGCGTCACAGAAACGAAACGACACCTCGTCGCTAGTAATAACTTTGAAAGAGATACCTCGATTGGTGGAAAAGTATTGTGAATTTCGAGTAGTGCTGGTGGTGGAGTAGAACAAGGTCGTTAATGAGACGGAGGCAGGCATGTCAGTTTGGCAGGCGAAGATAAAATTTCATAAACAAAAGTTGTTTATATATATATATATATATATATATATATATATATACACTTTAGTAGTTTCTAATTACAAAACTGGTTTGACGAGAATGTACAGCGAAACATCCTCTTGTGAAGCAACTCGTGCCTTAGTTACAAGATCTGTCCAGAATATATGTAACTGTTTTGAATATTTCGAGAACCAGTTGCGCGGTAAGCAAACAGAAGGGACTTTACTTAGTAAGCATGAACAATAGCTCTCATAGCGTTACTCAGTTGATAGTGAGACGCCACTGAGTGGGCTTGGGGGATGTGTGACCGTCGCAGTCAAAATGATTGAGCGAGTCGATTTTTCCTGCTGCATGCAAACTGATTTGGTAACATATCGCATTACACATGTTTGTTAGCCTGCAGTAAAGTCCAGATTAATTTGCACGAGACGACCGGCCTTTTCAAAGGAAAAATCGCCGATGAAACGACGAGGACGAGATCAAGTATAAGGCAGACAGCTGATGGTGATCCCGAAAGAATACTATTCAGATTGTTTGGGATAAGTGTATTAGAGAGCTCCTCTTGAGATAGATAGATAGATAGATAGATAGATAGATAGATAGATAGATAGATAGATATGAAGCGACTGCGATAGATAGATATAGAAACATTTAGATAGATACATCGATAGAAATATTTAGATATATACTCAGACATATAGATAGATAGATAGATAGATAGATAGATAGATAGATAGATAGATAGATAGATAGATAGAGAAACCGACAAATTTATAAAAATGTAAATAGATAGAGAAAGAGAGAGAGAGAGAGATAAAGATAGATATATATACATGTGGATAAACATGTAGCTAGAGAGATAAATGATCTAGATAGATAGATAGATAGATAGATAGAGAGATAGATAGATAGAGAAAGCGACAAATTTGTAAACAGATAGATAGATAGATAGATAGATAGATAGATAGATAGATAGATAGATAGAGAAAGAGAGATAGAGAGAAAGGTAGATAGATATACATGTAGATAAACATGTAGCTAGAGTTATAAATGATGTAGATAGATAGATAGATAGATAGATAGATAGATAGATAGATACGAATGAAGTAAGATCGTATCCCAAGAGCAGTTCATTGTCTGGCACTAATTAGACTATGCCCATCGTTATTATACTTTCGCGATAAACTTTTAATTTTTTTCAGTTTAAAAAAAAATAAATTTTTGATTTTCAGCAGCAGTATTGTTGGGTGTGCAACTGGCGTTGCGTTTTTCGGCGCGGATAATGGAACCAGCGAATTCAGTGTCTTTCCAACTCTAGTCTGTTGTCTTCACATTCGCACTATGCCCTTGGGAAAGGTGTGACTTCGTTTCTCCTTCCTCGTGTTAAATAGTAGAGTAGACTGGTTTGTCTAGCTCTTGAGTGGCAGCCAGGCTAAGATGAGGACAGTTTTAGATTCCATAGTCGAGGAAAAGGTATTGGGAAACTACTTCATTCTCTTCCTTCAAAATGTTAATGTAAATCCCAGATGATAAAGACAAGGAGTATATGGAGACCTATGTTTACCTCAGTCCTAAAGGGACTTGACACGGTTTTTTTTCTTTAAAACGATACAGAGAGAAATAAAAGTAGATCACGAGAACTTCTTTTGTTAGCCTGACGAAATCAAATGTAAACGATTTCATGTACTTCTAAAATATAACAAAAGTGAAAATCAATTCCAATCGAAATTATATGTCGATAATTGGTTTTGATAACCACATCACGATACTGACATTTCAGTTAAATTTGAAATGTTGTTTTTTTTACTCTTACTTCACCTAATACAAGGCCTAAGTGTCACTCAAGGTAGTGGACAACTGAGTTAAATTATAATAGAGGTGACAGGGGAGAGTAAGAGAGTATTCTGAGAACGGGAAGAGTAGATATCGAGCAAGATTGTAATTATCAGGGAAGTATTTTCTTTTGAGTTTGTTCCATTAACAGTTCTGTGGAAGAAGATGTCTAAATGGAACCTACTTTTTACCAAAGGATCACGAAGATGATATGGACGGTTTTTCCTCATGAACATTTCATAGCGGATCCTAAGCTCTGTGACGGTCAAAGCAGGTGCCGTTAAGGAATGCAATTCATTCAAACGTCTACCAGAGTAAGGAAATGTTGGCACCGGTTCCTCTGTGCTATAAGGGTTGCAGAGTGAAGAATAATTTATCACCAACAATGGCGCGTATGCGCTTTTGAACTCTGCCAAGGCTGGACAATGGGGTTTGGGATACGCCAGCCCGGATATGGCAGCAATACTTCTGACATGGTCTGATCTGACTCTTGGAAAGATAGGGCGTGGCAGCGAGGATTAGGTATTTTCTGGGGCGATAAATTGAACCGCCCATTCTTCCAGCATCTGTTGCGAGGGCACCGAATATACACGTTCCATTTGAGCTTGTAGTACATATCAACATCTTATGGGTCATTTAATAACGAAATTTAATTTTCTTGGGAGCACTATCAATTACTTTAAAAAAAAATATATTATTGCTGATAATATTTTTTACTATGAAAATGTATTGCTGATATTATTAATGTAAAAAGTATTTTTATACTTTCATAGTTTTTTGACTCTAGCTTTGGAGTTTAGTTGGGGACAACAAGGCCTCTCTCTAATCGGAAAGTTTTGAGAAGCGTGGAACCACCTCTAATTTGCTGTTGTTCCACTCTGACCCGAGGTGATAGCTTCTCAAAACCTCCCGATCAGAGAGAGAGGCCTTGCTGTCGCATGTAGTTTACCATCATACCAAGGATGCAGCTCATAAATTTAGAGGTCGATGTGAAACTCTGGTCCGTTAGTCTGTCGTGAGAGAAGATGTACCAAGTATCACCCCCGCACACCGCACTAAAACCGTGCCAGTTGGACACGTGAATAAAGAACCTAATATATTGAAAACAGAATTCGTTTTCTTTTCTTTTTTTTTTTCCTTTTTTTGACATCGCGATATTTTATCTTCTGTTTTCTTGAGCTTTTACACCGGGCTTTTCCCCGTATTTGTTCACACTGTCGCAAACGAAAATTGAAGCATATGGTAGGTTTAACCTGTCTAATGTATTTAGTAACCTCTCCACACGATCAGATGTGGCACAGGGCCGAATTTAATGTGGGGTATCCGAGCCCGTAGGCTCAGCCAAAAATTCCCCGGAGAACCCGTATAAAACCGGGCCGGGTAGCCTCAGCCAAAAATTCCCCGTAGAACCCGTATAAAACCGGGCCGGGTAGCTGTTTCCCGAGACGAGACTCTACCCTTCAACATAGCCTCGTCTGGGGATCCTCTCTGTCTAGTCGTTGAAAACTGACGGATTGAAGCAGTCGCATATCTACATACTTTAATGAACGAAGGTCATGTCGACATAGAAGGTTGTGAAAAAAAAAACAAAAAAACAATTAGATGATAAGGAAAGCTTGTCAAGAATTAATAATGAACATTCGAAATAATTCCTCTTTGCATATTATTTTGGACTAATCAACTGTATTCTTACATTACAGTTTGTTAGTGTAAAATAAATAATTGTCTTTTTTTTTTAGTAAAGTACATTTCTTGTATGATGGACACGGATTGAACAATTATTGTTCACGATCGACTTCTATACCAAAAAGACGAGGACATTCGATTGGCTAATAATATGAAAATCAAATTGGCTGATGTTTTTATAACGGCGCATGCGCATTGCGTTGCACGCGAATAATTTTGTTTACAGTGCTTGCTTGTTGATACAACTGAGAAATAAAATTATTCTATTGACCATTAGCTTATGTTAATAGTTTTTTTTTTTCCTTCACGTTTATTCGCAGCGCTAGAATATCGGATATTTGCAAATGTTCTATGTTCTGTATGGCTTGTTTTCTTCCCATTTCTTCTTTTTTTAATTAAATTTCACACAATATTAAGCTCGAGAGCCACTCAATGTAGCGTGTTACAGCTGAAATGGTAATGATGAATGAGCTGTGAGATATGAATAGAAGTGTTAGGTGGTAGGGCGTGGAGATCATGAAGATAAAGAGGACAAATAAAGACTGAGGTCAAGATTAAAGTGTTCAGGAAAGCACCCACGCGGGATTCTACTACATAAAGTAGGGAAAAACGTGTCTAGGCGGAACTTTCATTTTACATTTGGAATACGGGGGAAATTAGGATGATTCGATTATGTGGATGAAGCATGGAGAGTTCTAGGTGTAAAAGCCTGAACTGGTAAGATCTAAAGAATGGAGCTCATCTCAACATTTACTATAGAAATACTGATGCAGTAGCGTTGCAACGTTGTGTCTGTGGGTAAGAGGTTGGAGAGTCGAGAGCAAACCATTCCCGTATAAATGAATTTTGGACTCGATGAAGGCTGAAAAGTGAGAACGGACCCCCCCCCCAGATATAGCAGTGATGCTCCATTTTTATACCTATTCTATTCTAAAGATAAAAGAATATCAATTCTGCTACAAAACCGGAAGTTTGGAGCACTCAGTGAGGATCGAAACCGTTAGACAGTATTCATGACCTTCTTAACTGGCTCGTTAACCATTACCCCAAAACCTATTGCTCTTAAAATTTTTATTTGTCAACGAAACCATTTATTTAGCTTCTTTATTGTTGTCATTTCCCACTCATTGGGTGTTCAACCGAAAAGTCACTGGTGACTTACATCAGAGAAAATGTCTTTTCAATACTCCAGGACTTTACTCAGTATCTGAAATGATTTTCTAGATGGTATCAATCTCTCACCTGATTTCGAGTTCTATCTTTTCTCCAGCTTCTTTTAGACTGCTCCAAGTGATATGATAACGACTGATTTCTCTTTTCACGAATTCCTTATCTTGAAACACTTTTCATTTTTCTTTGGATATATTTTTTATCACTTTAAAAGTTATTGTAACTGAATACTCGTATCTGAGTAGGCGCACCATTTAAATATTAAACAGTGTATTTATTTATTTCCGCCGACCGGCCTGAATGTTCGATAAGTTTTCTTAAAAAAAAATTAAGCTCTTCGCCAGGAATCGAACCAGTACCCCCCAGGGTAGAGGAAGCCACTAGTTTAGCCCAGAGTGCCTTACCTCTCGGCCACGAAGAGACAAGCGAAAATACGTTTTTATATATAAATGTAGCGTCTACTCAGATACGAGTATCCACTAATAATAGCGTTTAAATTGATAAAAAATATGTCTGACTAATAAAAATCCATTCTAAAAAAATACTCTATAGTTTGCCGAAAAATGAAATCAAATATTATCGCATGTTTCTTGTTGTTTTCAACGAGTAAATCTGATTTTCCAATTTGAATTGGGTTAGCCATGGGTATCTTGCAATTCTAGAGATCTTTATAAAATTATATTCTCTAGCAAAGACTGCCCTCTGCATATACAGTTACTTTGTATGGTCAAATGAAGGTGCTTGCAATCTTCTTTTTCGAATTATTCATCGGGAGTTCACATCAGTAGTAATTGCTGCCCTTCTCAGTATCCTAGTTGCTTTCAACAGTACTGCCATCTGGAGGATTCTATCATTTCTACTTTCCAATTATTTTAGTCTTTCTCCAGTCTCTCCAACATTCCCAGCGGTCCTGTAACGACTGGGATTACTGTCACTTTCATGTTCCACAACTTTCTAGGTTTCCTAGCAAGGATGAGGTATTTATATTTTATTCACTTTTTAAATAAGTACTTTTTTTTTGTTTTTTATCTTCCATAGGTACGGTATATATATATATATATATATATATATATATATATATATATATATATATATATATATATATATATATATATATATATATACGTGTGTGTGTGTGTGTGTGGT